ATCAGAATGCAGGTTGGCCAGAGCTCAGTTTGGCCGGACCACATTTAGAGGAGGTACACTACAGCAGCTGACTTTAGAAAATTAAACCTTAATGATTTTATTAAAATAAAAAATAAAAAACGATAACTTTGTTAGCACAGGATTTCTTTTGTCACACTGACGATCAGAGTGACATTTCAAACATCACACACAATCCACACAGGTGAGAAGCCATTTACTTGCACAACATGTGAGAAAGCTTTGAGATGTAAAAGTAGCCTGACGACCCACATGAGAATCCACACAGGTGAGAAGTCATAACTCTCCAAGACCTGCAGGAAAAGAAACTTTGATGTGTCTCAAGTAAAAAGGCATATAAGATCTCACACAGTCAAGTGGCTTTGTTTTTTAAAAACAAGTAGGAGACATGTCAGTTCTGGTTCATGGTCAAAACACACAAGAACTCTGGAAGTGAGGAGTCACATGTTTGCAGCATGTGGGGAAAATTTTACTCAAATCACACCTGAAGATCAATAAACACAGCTGAAACTATGGGGTGTTGTTTGTAAAGTGGCTCACGCTGAAAATAACATCAACATTTTGCCCCATTTAGCTTCAAATAATGTTTAAAAAAGTGTTGTGAATTTTTTAACATCACCTTTTACCACATTTACAGCAATATTTGTTAACTTAGAAATTTATTTAATAGTTAAATCTAAATATTAAATGTGGCACCTAAATGTTAAATCTAAATATTAAATCAAAATCTAAATGTTAAATCTAAATGCTAAATCTAAATGCTAAATCTAAATCTAAATGTCAAATGTTAAATCTAAATGTTCTGGGTGAAACTAAATATTTAGCTAATATGCAAATTCACACTGCCGGTCACCGGAAGTACCAAAATAAAAGCTTGAGATGGTCAGACTGTGTTTATAGAATCAAATAACGAATTAAAACCAACTTATTGGGAGAAACTGACACTTGAACATACATTAGCATGATGTCTTAGTTTAAACATGATTGAGCTAACTGGAGTAGTTTCATGTTGTATCCGACAACGGGAGGCTTTTAACAGATGACGTCCTGATGTTAG